ACAAGAGCAAATATTAAATAAAAAAAAATGCGTTTATAGCGATTTTTTTTTATACAACTTTGAATGGCAAACAAGCAGACGCCCACCTGATGGCAAGTGGTAACCGTTGCCTATAGAGATGAGCAGTACCATGGACATAACAGAGTATACTGTTTCGCCCATGATACCCCCCATGCATTGCCATTCCTGAGGACTCAAGTGCTATTCCTCTGTACCCAGTAAATTCACGCCATATCCCACCCTTCTAACCGACTTTTGTACAAAGTATTTAAAAGATATATTTAAACACATTCAAACTAAGTACCTTCTAAATAAACGCGGTCCATGATGATAAGATCTATATCATTACATAGTGTTAGATGACGTAATATAAAAGCGCAAACTTATGTTGTAATAAAAAAAACTAAGATAAAAATCGACCATTTATAATATAAAAAAGCACAGAATGGGCCATCCCTTCCTTACCCGTGGGTGTCGTAAAAGGCAACTAAGAGAATTTAATAGTCGAATGATGAGCAGCAGTGCCCCTGCTAAAATATCACCAAAGCCTAATTGCGGTTAACAACTCGCCTACCAAGCGTGGCAACTATTGGCAAAACTGCCCAAGGGCACTGCCCAAGAGGCGTATACTCAGCAGGCTAATATGATAGTGAATGTAAATTATATGGCAAACTGTATTTACAATAAAGGACACATAAAAAAAATATGTATTTTTATGGATTTAACAAAAATCTAATTATTTTATTAATGAATTTCTAAATGAAAAAAGAATGCTACCATCGTGATTGTGGCGTACTTCTATTAAATTTAATTTTGAGGTTAAATAATGACGTTTCTTATAATATTTACTAAATCTAAGTAAAAAAATAAATTGGCATGACTAGTAAATAGTGTTGTAGGCATACTAATTGTAATCATTTAATTGCTTTTAAATACTTGTACATTAGAAATAGCAAATTATGACAGGACTACAGCTTTAAACTTGTTGAACCATATTCTAATAAATAAATTAAATATTATTGTAAGAAAAATATGCGCTTTAAAATCGAAAAAATTAGGCTATAAATTAAAATTTTAATCATTTATGAATCACATATTTGCTTTTGTTATGCATGTAAGTCTATATAAAAATAGCTAGCGGCCCGTCCCGGCTTCGCACGCGTGGACATTTTTACAACATTTTAAAAAGTGGTTCTTTCGACATAACGATAATAGTTGGACATATAGTATCGCTAAGTTTTTTGTAGTTACTGATATTTTCTTTAATATTGTAGAACATACTTTTGTTCTATCACCAATAGTTTCCGCAGCGCATGCGACGAAATATACAGCATTTTTTTTACACCTTCAGTTACGTTACTAAAGTTTTAGTAAGGATTCCTAATCTTTTCTAACAATAAATATAGCCTATGTTACTCAGGGAGAATGTAGCTTTCTAATGGTGAATGGATTTTTGAAATCGGCAAAGTAGTTTTTGAGTTTATTCATTACAAACATACATACACACAAAAATACAAATCTTTCCTCTTTATACTCATAATATTTGTGTAGATTGATTAATGGAATCAAAATGGTTGTCAAGGTATAAGGACGAAAGCAATAAAGCCTTTGACTATTTCAACTAGGATTACAATCGTAAGTACATTTAATTATGTACTAAAAACTTACAGCATTAAAAGTATGAATAAGCAGGTTTTTAAAAGTACCATAAGATGTTCTAGTTTCACATATGAAATTTCTTTACGGTTTCCACCTGTTACATCGATCGAAGCATGACCGTTGCACTGCCAGGTAAGTATATAGTGATAAAAGGTCTTTGTGATTTACGTGACATAAGAGTTTATTATACTCTAAAACAGGGGTGAATAATATATAGCAATATCTATATACATATTACCAGAGGGAGACTTTGTACAAAAGTCGATTGCTTGGGAACCTCTGTCCCATTCGTGTTTCAACCGTAAAGCAGTTATGTTTGCATGGCTGTGTGTCGGTTTGAAGGGTGGGATATGACGTGAATTTACTGGGTACAGAGGAATAACACCTGAGTCTTCAGGAATGGCAACGCATGGGGGGTATCATGGGCGAAACAGTATACTCTGTTATGTCCATGGTACTGCTCATGTCTATAGGCGACGGTTACCACTTTCCATCAGGGGAGCCGTCAGCTTATTTGCCATTCTAAGTTGTATAATATATATATATATATATATATATATATATATATATATATATATATATATATGATCTAATATATACGGATATTTTTTTTATGCAACATAGAATGGCAAACAAGCTGACGGCCCACCTGATATATCTATATACAGATTTCGGGGCGGTACTGATAGCATGGATGATATCAGTACCGCCCTGAAATCTGTATACATATTTAATTCTACTGAATATTGATATCGGCAAAAACACTCGTCCATTTTAATATTGATCATATCAGTCCATATGTATATTTAAATAAATTAAGAAATATGTATATTTAAATAAATTTTAATTAGATTTAATTAGAAATCTAAAGAATTCTTATTTTCAATATTATATAATATATTGGATATCCGATATTTTATATATTTACTAGAGTATTGTTTTGTATAAAAATCGTTTGTTTGGGCATCTCTGTCCCATTCGTGTTTCTACCGTGAAGTAGTTGTGTTTGTATGGCTGTTTCAGTTTGAAGGGTGTAAATTCACTGCTATATCTGGGATATGATATGTAAAAATTACAGGGTATGGTAACGCGTATATAACGGTATCATGGGCGAAACAGTATACTCTATTATGTCCATGGTACTGCTCATGTTTATAGGCGACGGTTATCACTTTCCATCAGGTGGGCCGTCAGCTTGTTTGTCATTCTAAGTTGCATAAAAAAAAATATGCAAACTAATCCACGTGGGTAAAGCCGTGGAATAATGGAAGTACAAAGTAAACAGAAACGTATTGTATTTGCCGTGGTGTTTACTAAATAATGAAGGACTTAATTGATGTAATTGATCTTTGACGTTATAACACTGCTTCTCCATTACATTTTCCCATCGGTATTTATATCACAGACCATAGAATATATAATAATTAGGTTACATTTCAAATAGTAGCCGTGTGGTCCCCTTCCTTTCCCGTGGGTGTCGTAAAAGACGACTTAGGGACGACGAAGGATGGGCAGCAGCGTCCTTCTTAAAACATCTCTAAAGTGGTTGCCAATACGCCTGCCAAGTGTGGCAACTACTGGCAAAAGCTCCCAAGGGAGAGGTTTATGTTCAGCAGTGGACGGTTAAGGGCTGATATGATGATAGTGATTTCAAATAGTGGTTTTAACTAAAAAAAAGTAGACTTATTCAATAATTATTTTAAAATTAAAAAATAATCCCACTGAAGTTTCACAAGTTATTATTTATTGAGAATAAACTACAAGAAATTCAGTAGATATTCTGTTCAAATCTATGTAAATTACATCACTGTTGTATTTATTATGAGATAAAAAATGTGTTAAATGTATCACGATGAATCACATTTTAAGTTTGACCTTTAAAAATAAATTATAAATTTAAAGTTTGTAACAAATTTTATGCAGTATTTTCTGCATGATACTGAATATATATATATACATACAGACATTGGACAGAAGATATTAAAAAATAATATTGTTTTGGTTTCTCTTCCTCTTTTCAAATTGTCTTAAAAATCTTCAATATATAGACATCGTCTAATGATAATTTTATTAGATTAGTTTTAAGATGTAACTGTACTTATCATTCTATGAATAGATGAATAGTAGAATAAGTTACAGACGTTTTATTCGACTAGAGTTTTATTAAAAGGACAGCTATTACAATGCTCTCTCCAAGTAGCGTAATCAGCAATAAACTTGCACGAATCTTAAATTGACAGAGAGTTATAGTACAATATATCCGCCGAAGCTCATTTCAAGGTAGTTAAACGAGCTAAACCTAATAAACGAAATTATTACATCGTAATTTACAATTTGCAGTCGCCTTTTGCGGGCTATAATTCGGCGGTACGTTCTATTTACACTGTTAAATTATATTTAGTTTGTATTTGTATAGTAGCTGAAATAACATCATTAATGTTACAGTATTTTTTTTATTTTGGAGAACGGCGAAAGACTTTAACACGATTACTATATTTAAGATTGTGTTATACAAAAATAAACGACTTCAGTTGTGGTAATACTAGTCATTTTGAATTAAAAACTAAATAGCTGAACTGTATTTCATAAAATTTCTACGGAACTAATCTGTAAAAATATCTTTTTAGATAAAAAATAATATTGCAAATAATTTATCAACTGATGAGAGTTATGAGATAATAAACAATAATAAAATACATACTATAAAAAATATAATCGAATTGAGCACGTCTTTCTATTCTAAAGTGGATTAAAAAAAGAAATGTCCCTAATATTTTCAGAGTTTTGTATACATGTTTACTATGTTTACTCGTATTTCAAATGTGTTGCAGGAAGTCAGCCCATTCCGTCCGTGACACCCGTCATATGTTGCCTCATGTATTATGTTTCCCTATTACGTTAAAAGATTATGCAAGCTCCAAACTCCGATAAAAAAAATACAACTTCAATTCACTTGTAAAATTCACAAATCAATCGGTGAAGACATCACGTCACAATAGACAAAAAAATTGCAATAATTTAAAACATATTACTGTTTTAGAAGACGATTAAAAATAATGTATTTATAATTTATGAAATTTGGAACGATCACCAAGATTAACAAGTTGACGGCCCGCCTGATGGAAAGCAGTAATCGATGCAGACATAACACCATGACATAACATCACAGAATTCATGAGGACTATAATATTATGCCTCTGTAGCTAGTAATTTTAGTATGTCCCATTGAACCGAAATGCAAGCTAGCTGCCAAGCAGATTTCAGATGGCAGAGGAAGTGGAACATAAGTATAGACAACTCTTGTTTAGAGTTTCATAACGAAGTAACAAAATTCGACTAACCTGGTGGCCATTCTTGTCCATACACGAAGATCTCGGATCTGGCGATGTCAACACGGTTCCATGTGAGAGCAAGGGACAGCTGCTCGCTTGGTGAGAGGTGTTGGGCTCTGAATAACGCTGTGAGGATTACTTGGTCCAACTCTTGGACCTCGCCGCCTTCTGCCCGCTCTTGTATTCTGAACACCGTGATCTAAAAAGAAAAAAGAGATTATGAATAAGATAATTTCAGATTTTACTTTTCTTTTTTACCACAGAGGTGGCAAAAAAGCATACAGCCCACCTGATAGTAAGCGGTTACCGTAGCCTATGAACACCTGTAACACCAGGGGCATTACGCGCATTGTCAATTCGTTACTTCTTGAAAAATATCCCCTTCAATTGTTGTGAAATTTATATTGGATTAAAATAGGAGAAAACTATGTCGATTGTGAAAATATTTATCAAAATCGGTTTCAATTTGGCGCAGATGTCGTAACACTAACTTACAGACAAAATACAGAATTTAGATTTTTTTAAATCGCATAAAAACTTATAAATTATACTTTAAGAAAAGGGATAATAGAAGGGTCTTCTTAGGCTGTAAAAAAAGTACGAAAGGAGTGCCCAGCCATTTGGCCTATGTGGTAATCATATAATTATATCCTTCTTCTATAGGGCAACTCAAGCCTAATATACATCACAGAATACACTGTGATGATTATGGTATTCCATATAAATTGCTATTTCTGAGGATAGAAGTTGCAATATAATGTATTTTTGTGCATAATCATTATAATGAATATTATCTATGTGCGAGTCAATAAAGTATGTGAATATGGGTGTCGAAAGAGGCGGATAAATCTATTTAACGATGGAGGGATGGGCAGCAGCATCTCTTTTAAAATATTCTTAAAAGCCTAACCGAGTTTGCCAACCCACCTGCCAAGCGTGGCAACTACTTGGCAAAACTCCCCTTATAGGGATATTAGGGAAGGTTTATGTTCAGCAGTGGACAGTTAACGGTTAAAATGATGATGAGTCAACAAAACATTTTTAAATTTACACGGCAGTCTTTACTAAGAAAAAATGCATATTCTTACAATAATTTTAAATCCGTACATGTTTTCTCTAATGCAATGGAATGCAAATAATTTGTGTGGTTTATAGAGCAAATATCGTTGTATTTGCTCTGTAAGTAAGCACTGTAGCGATGTTAAATATTTACACTCATTGCTTATCTACTGATGGTAACGTAAATAAATATTTATGTAAATATGAAAGGGTGAAATTTTATGAATACGTTCTTTATATAGAATTATTTATACGCATTCGATATTCTTCAATTTTTACTTTATTCTGTTAAGTCTTAGTCACACAGGAGTTCAGCGTTGTGTTGAGACTTCAACAGGTTTATTTTCGAACAATCGACGGTGTTCGAAGGTATATTGAAATTATCACGTTACAAAATTATATGGTATATAAAATTAAAAGATATACAAAATTATATGAGTTATAAACATGATATGAAATATTGTTACTGCATCAATATTTTTTACTCAAGTGACTGACGTTAATAAGCACTATAACGATATATAAATAGACGTAATATAATATTTAGAAACTGACATTTTCGTATTCCTACCATGATATATACTGGTATTATAGATATATAAATATATCCTTAAAAATATAGTCATTGTTTATTGTAAATTTGTGATATTCTTACTTGTAAAATTGTAGTTATTGATTATTACTATTATTTTATAGTAATTCAAATTGATATTTTTAGTAAATACTTGTACATTTTCTAAGTCCTTAATTTTAGACACATTTCTTGGCTCTGTATTCCAAGTTTATAATAAAAAAAAAATATGGGTTATATGAATTTTGACTAGCAAGAATTTTGACTAGCAAGAATTTTGACTAGTAGAATTGTGTAATCAAGAAGTCTTTGCTTCGCAACAAGCAGGACTTTTGTTTCACAAAGAAAAATAGCAGCATAGCATTACAGTGATGATTAAGTCAATTAGATTACTAGAACCAGGTCAGTAGAACATACTCGATTGGTATATAATGCACAATATAAACGCCAATAGAATAAATATCGATTGAAAGAAGAATAAAAAAACTTTTAAGTCAGTATAGAATTGGCGATGATATAGCGTAATACACACAAAAAATACCGTCGAATCGAGAACCTACTCCATTTTTATGTCGCTTAATAACCTCATTTCTAGAGGCAATATTCGATGTCGCTTCTGTTATAGGCAGTGATTTGAACAAATACAACCCCAGTAATGGAGATAACAAACCCATTATAGATGGTTATGTGAAGTACAAAATTAATGCTGGATAGATGAATCGGAGCTAAGTCATAGTATATGATTTTCGAAAGTTGTTTTTCAATGTTTTTTTTTTTATAAATTACTAATTTTTTCGTAAACTTGAAAAGTTGGCGACCCACTACTAAACTACGTCATTTTATTAAACTAATAGCTGACTCGGCAAACGTTGTTTTACCATATACATTATTTCAAGAACTATATATGAAAATGTATTGTACTACAATTATTATATTCGAATGCTGTCTTGTAATCCTGTTGCGCAATATAAAAATCGCGATTAAAAACAGGGGTTGATCGCAAAAGCGTGAAAATTTGAATTTGTATGTATTTTTCAATGCAAAGTCATACTAAAATAAAAAAAAATGTCAAAAAAATAAAAATAAAATATTTAGAGGTGAGTCACCCTTATCATTGAGGGGTATGAAAAATAGATGTTGGCCGATTCTCAGACCTACTCAATATGCACACAAAATTTCATAAAAATCGGTAAAGTCGTTTCGGAGGAGTTTGGTAACAAACACCGCGACACGAGAATTTTATATATTAGATGTAATTTTATGAATCCAAGGAAATTATTAATAAAATACAATTACTTCATCATCATCAGGATCATAGACTCATTATCACTTCATATTGGACCGTCAGCTTACTTGATATCTACTGCAGATAAAAAAAAAACCTTATTGGACAGAAGTATTCTATGACAGTGTTGAAAGAATAAAACGTAAAGTGTACAAATCTATTACAAAATATACAAGGCAATGATGATATAATATCAATCAATTATACAACATATAATTGATTGATATTATATCATCATTGCCTTGTATATTCTTTATCATTGATATATATCAATTGATAAAGAATATACAAGGCAACACACCTGCAATTTGATGCTTTGACATTACAGGTGCGTAGGGGTGGCGGTAATCACATATCATCAGGTGAGTCGTATGCTCGTTTGTCATTTATATTATAAAAAAATTGGATATGGCAATGTTAAGTTGGTTTTTTTATGCAACTTAGAATGACAAACAAACTGATGACCCAAAAACAATGCCATGGAGATAACAGATTACACTGTATCCCCCATGATATATGAAATGCGTTATCAGTCCTGAGGACTAAGGTGGTTATATCTCTGCACCGTGTAATTTCATTGCCATATTCCACCTTTCAAACTGAAACGCAGCCATGAAAACTCAACTGCTTCACGGTAGAAACACGAACCGGACAGAGGTATCCAAGCAAAAGATTTTTGTACAAAGTCACAATCTAGTTTGTGTAACGGATAAAAAATGAATATCAAAGTCGTGTTAGTAATAGATTAGCTGTGTAGTATCTGATAATCGTGGTATGAACATGCCATATATTTGAGAGTAGAAATAAAGGAGGGAGGGAGGTTCGTGGGAGGAACCGCGAACACTCAGGTGGAGGAATGATCTCTCTGCCGAGACTTTCCCTAGGAACTACAGCATGGGGTTCTTCAAAAAGGGCACATTAAGGATTCTTAATGATCGGAACGCGTGCGTGACATCCTTGGTATTGCAGGAGTCCATAGTCTACGGTAACCCCGTTTACCATAAGACGGGCCGTATGGCTTTTTTACCACCACAGTAGTATAAAAAAGACACATTTGGACCAGAGATATCCACTCTATAAACATTAATGTATTCTAATACTCATACTGCCAAAAGATTGCCTCGTAGCTGAGTCATAACATAATTAGATACTGGTTGACTCAATTTGATTATTCCAGTAAACGACCAAAAATAAATTAGTATACCGCTGCTTTATTGTGTTAATGTAAATAAATTGCTTGGTACATATTATATGGAAGGCGTGAGTTGTCAGCTAAAATAGAATTTATGTTGTGAAACTTATACTGTCTACTAAAATAGCTGTTGGAAAGATATGGCGTGCTAGCTTCGCTAGGGTCCAAAATCTGCACTCATGAAACAACAATTAGGGATTTGGTGAGAATTGAAATCGGTTTACTATGGTTTGACAATTTACAATACTATCTATCAGAACAATATGGAACCATTATGTCGCTAGTATTGCAATTCGAGAGTGCAAAACGTTTCAATTTCAATATCGATCTATTGGAGTTTATTTCAAGCGTAATCCCACTGTTCACTGACCGGGATAAAAAGTCTCTATCCCATATAGTACATGTACCAAATTTCATAGTTATTGCTTATGCCGTTAAGGCGGTAACAAAAAATGTACTTTCAGACTAATAATATTAGGATCATGATTGCTAACTCAAAATTTTGGAAATCAAAATATGAAGTATCATTATTCGGCATGTGAAAATTTCTTGATAGGGATATTAAATAATCTATATCTTTACATAATCTATTTATTATTCCGATCCATAAATATAATGGAATAACTGGAGTATACCTACATGAGCGATGTTGCGGGTATAATTTACATAGATACAAATCAAAAAAGGGTACTTGCGAACTCTTTAAGCAAGACTTGTATTAACTGCTCTTTCATTTTTTTATTTTAAATCACTAGTAAAAGTGCAAAATTATACTAATATTTTACATTATTTTGAAAACTACAAATCGTGAACTATGGTAATGCAAGTGTTATGCTGAAGCGATTGAGTGGGAAGCGTTATTTACCGAAAATATCATACAAGAATTCAGTTAAAATTTCGTGCTACCCACAAAAAAAAAAAAAAAATAAATAAATAAAAAAAAACCAAGTGCTTGAAAAAGTTAATAAGTGCGTTAAGTTTATACTGTGCGTTGACTTGCTTAAAATATTATTGAAATAAGTTATTCATCTCACCTGCAATTACATCATAATTTGTTAAATATGGCACCTACTACTATTAAATGTGCAGGAT